AAATTTCTAAAAATGTCTGATGATTTACAGACACTGTTGTGGCAATGCAGACACGTTGCTAGGCAACGACTATCAAAGAATCAACCATGCAACATCCGTAACGAAGTTACGACTCCGCAAAGAAGCACGATTCAATGCAACATTTGCATTGCACCAGGAATTTAACAAACCGACAGAGTCAGTTAGTGAATGAGTTGGTTGATGAGTTAGTGAGGCAGCTGGAGAACTGTTGGTGTGAGAAGCTGATAGCTGAGGCTGGAGGCAGTTCGGAAAAACAGAAATAGGGGAACGTCCGTTGTTGAAAGCCGCTACCAGGCAACGGCGGGCAAAGCCTGTTAACAATGAGAAGGCCTAATGTGTCCCATAGTACAAACATTATGTTTTGTGGCATTATCCAACGTCATGTCCTTATCTAAAAACACTATCCTGTTTATTTTTCAAAACACAACGTTTCGGAGACTAGACTGTCTCCGTCATCAGGTAAAACCTACTCAGTTGGGTCCAATCGCTAGAGATAGTCCCTATCTCCGGAGATTGAGACTAGGTTGTCAGCGTCACGCGCCCGCCGTCCTTTACCGCCGTGAAGTTCCTTGTTACTTATTTTTGTCAGAGGCTGATTTGACCCCAGGGTCATAGTGCGGCTTGAAGAATTAGGTAAATTGAAAAAGCAAACGGCTTCATCGGGAATGGAATCCGCATTCTTCCGGCATGTAAGACAGTGCCTCGCCCGATTACGCTACCGCACACAAACCATTAATACAAATATTACTTTGAAGTAAAGCTGAAAATTCTATTTCGCACTCACAGATAGTTCATGTAACTTACTCGTCTTGACACTGTTTCACTTTCCCGGTCCTACGCTGAGCGGCTTATAAAAGGCATTCACCTTCATGAAACTGATTTAGGTTTAGACATGGCGGTCTGGATAGTCGATAACATGATTATTTAGTAAAACTGAACTGATTACAATTTTCAAAATATAATATTTTTCAAATGCTGACAAACTCTGACAAATTCTTAAAGTATGTATATATTAAGAATGAAAAAAAAAGTGTTACTTGAACCCACACACACAGGTGTTCGAGACTAGCGTTGGGATGGAATATTTGCTAAGCTGAAGGGACGCCATTATGCATAATATTAGTAAATCACTGCCGTGATGTAATAGCATTTTATTTGGATACATATTAACACGCATAATATCTGGTTACTGGCGTTGGAAATGGTAACACCAAAAAAATTCGCACGGCCACTCTGCTGGTAACATTGGTAAAGAAATTGAGCAACCGCGTGATCTTCATAGCACGTCTTATTAAAATCCTGTACCTGATTGCTATGACAATGGCGGGGAAGAAATCACAGACGTGTGAACATGCTCGCCTGATGGGTCACGTCCTTTTGTAGGCTAACGGTGTGGCATGTGCTGAGAAATTAACGGAAGCCTCATTATTCATTATAACATTTTTCGTACTCTTTTCTTCATCTTCATCTTCATTTATGTTCACCGTTACATATACAGTCTTCACTAGTCGTATCCTGGCAACGGATTTATAACAGTCCCACTGTAAGTTCAAATCACACACGAAGTTCTCTTGTCAGAGTATAATGTCATTCTAGCCATTATTATGCAACTGCCAATTCCGAAAACTCGACTCAATTCAATTCCAGGCTCGCGTCCCGAAACTCGATTCCTCACTTAACTTTATGCTACTGAACCCTTCTCTATAACCACTTTGCTAGGACCGCACAGAAAACACAGACTCTAGTATTAAGGAGGGGTGTTTACAGATCAGTTGCCTAACAACAGATGTCCCACTGCTTCGGGCCTTTGCTTCCGCGGGAATGTGTTGCCCAACAATTGATATACACGTCACAATATGGATGTTTTTGCATTCCTGTAAGTGCAGACCACGACGTTTATATTTGAGGTATACAATTACGACTCACCCTCTATATATAGAAGGATTTCAGCAAAAGTATGCCAAATTTTAATGCATGCTGCGGTAGGCAGAAAGTGGGAAGACAAATGAAAGAGAAGTCGCAGAATGTTATGATCATTGTGTAGGAATTCCAGAAAGTGTCTGGTCTCTACGGGTACTAATGGTTGCTATGAAGAAGCATTGAAGTCATAGAAGAAAGGAGATAAGTCTACAGAGCAACAGAAATAATAAGGTAACTGAATTTGGAAAGCGACATATAGATACAGAGAACAAAACAATTGTCTGCACAGTCAGTCTTCGACCTGAAGAGTCCGACAAAGGAAGGTAAGATAGAAAAGAATACGTGTTCACTAATTCCATCTGTGAACAAGAATGCGTCCAGGGTGTTTTGTTTCGGCAGCTTACCCCTCACGTTCTCAGTTATGACTGCCATACGCCCCTGGTTTGCGCGTTTCCTCCACAGCGTGTGGTGGTGTTTTTACATATCAATATCAACCTCTTATATACGAGAAGTCTGCAAAATTATGTATTCCGTACAAGCTCTGAAGCAGAGTGCTCATGACGTAAGCATATCTCAACATCATACATGCTACATTAATCAGATCATATTAGTAACACTTGAGGCATATATCGCTTTAAATTGGGGAACGGGGTAGGGTACTTGGTTGAGGCACTATGCTACAAGCCGGAAGGCCGCGGGTTCGATTCCCGATGATGTCACTTGAATTTTCAATTGACTTAATCCTTTGAGCCACATTATGTTCCTGGGGTCGTATCAGCCTTTAACAGAAATATGTGCCAGGAATCTTCCTGGGGATAAAGGGCGGCCGCCGCGTAAGACCGACAACCTCAACGACATCTGTGAGCCGATTGTCTAGAGGAAATGTCGGAGCTTCGAAGTGCCACAACACTATTGGCCTTCGTGATCAGTTACAGGGACAGCTTTGTCTTTTTTATCTCAAGTTACAGGGACAGCTTTGTCTTTTTTATCTCACATTATATTTTAAAACAATTACATATTTCCTATTTAAACCACTGTTGCACTTAAATGCCCTCTCCTCCAGCTCTGCTAGGGGTGAATGACTTTCCACACAGATGAAAGTCATGAATGTGAAGAAGCTTAACTTAATTTTAATGAGATTTTCGTGTGAGGCTGGAAGATTCTCATTGCACTGTGACGTCATACCGTAGGTACAATAGGGTGAGAAATAGTGATTATCCGAGAGACACGCAATATACAGCGAGCAGGAGCAAGGAAAAAGACACTATCAATGTAAGGCTTAATGCTTTCTGTACTTGATTACGGGTCTTAGCGCACCAGAACACTGCGCCTAGTAGACTGATTAACGATCTCAAGACCTTCAATAGGAAGGACGCGCCCCACTAGTGGAAAATTATGGTCGCATTGTTTGGACATGACAGCTAGACTGATACGCCCTTCCATTGACTTAGGTCTATTATAAAAACACACTACGTACGAGTTAATGGGCAGCGAAAATGAATTTCTCGGCCATGTTAGTGTTGCAAATCGTATAAATTTATTTGAAAAAGGAACCTGAAGCCTAAATTGAGAAGAATTTTTTAATTTTATTTTTTACGACAGAACAAAAGACTAACCAATTGAAAACAGGACCAAAGTCCTGTGGCGCTACATGTCCTTTCATGGAATTGGCCTTCATTTCCTGGAAAAAGTTTTATTGTATTTATTCAGCATTATTGGCAGCTGTCGCGAACTCACGTGTGACTCCCCTAATATCGTACGTCCCCAGTTTACTCCTTTGCTCATGCGTTTTCGGACTGGACCCTTGGGTCTATTTCAATTCAGGATTAATTTGTGAAAATATTAATGCTCTTCAGACAACGACTAAGACTACATGGGCAGAAGATGTACACTTCCAAGGCCACAACGTCGGGTTGTATTGGAAGATACGAATTATGATTTCTGGCCGTCGAGGGCAGTATGCACCTTAGACCACGCAGCAAAATTTATACTACTGAATCTTCTGCATTAGTCCATACAGGTTGTTTGTCATGGCTTGTTTTAATTTGAAAGAGTGTTAAAAGGTCTGTCTACTAATTCTGCCGTGAATCATTTGTAATCAGTCCAGAGTGTTCTATGGGGCGATTCGTTGCGGCATGGATCCTTAAACTTCGTCAGAGTGTGATACTGTAAAGTGTTTTTCAGGGAGGATAAGATGGACAGGGCATGTAACACGACGGGAAGAACGGAAATTGGTGGGAAAGCCAAAATGAATGAGATCACTAGGAAGATAAAGGCGTAGATCCGTGGATAATATTAAAATGGATCTTAGAGAGATAGGATGGGGTGTTACGGGCTGGATTGATCTGGAAGAGGACAGGGACCAGTGGACGGCTCTTGTGAACACGGTGATGAACGTTCGGGTTTTATAAAATGCTGGAGAGCTCTTGAATAGCTGTACAACTGGTGGCTTCTCAAGAAGGGCTCAGCTCCATTGAGTTAGTTAATTAGTTGCTAAGCTAGTTAGTCAATTAGTTCAGTTCTCCTCAACCCTCCGTTTGAGCCAGGCAGAAACTGCAACTTCTGCACATAGTTGCAAGGCTAAACCTGGCTGTTCGGTGGCGGAGTACAGTCAGCTGTTACAGTCACTCTATGCCAATATCAGGATGTAAAGCAATGACGGATTTCTGACACAACTAGACTTCTCGCAAGTATTTACAGATTTGCTGAAACTGTGCGTGAATACATTCATACCTTAAAATGTTCAAAAGCTTTCGATGACCCTTCTAGAAATCGTCAAGATATCCTGAGAAAAAATTGTGAGTGCCTCATTTCTCTTAGTAAACTTATGTTCCTGCAGCTTGTAATTTTTAGCATAAACTGATATATTTCTTTGCTGTATGGCAGAAAAATCGTCCAGTAAACCAAAGAGGGACTGAAAATGATTAAATCGGCCGACATAAATATTGTAAAGATGAAAATACCTTCTTCCCTCATCACTGAATGTTTCTGCTTGTTGTTGTAACATCTGTACAGGACAACTCTCTAAACATTTCATTGGAAACCTTTCTTTTGCTTACCGTTTAGTTGCTGGGTGCCGTGTTTTTCAGCTGCTTCCGACTAGCACTTGCCAACGGCTCCGTTTCAGGATAAACTTACAGACATGTAGACATTCGGCTGCGTTGCACAGCGGCGCGTCCACCTGCACAGAACAAGACAAGCGACATACTAGTACACTTGTACTACCAGTGGCATTAGGACTAACGACATCCGTGATGGCTCGGCCTTAGCTACGCGGCCAGCATGATCGGAAACGTGTGTTCCAGTTAAATTCTCATAACAAACGAGAAAATGAAAACATTCATTAATATTTCGACATATAATGTAAGTACTGGCCTAAAGGCGAAAATTTGAAGTCCATAACTTTGGATATAATGGACATGTGAACTTTCCGAGTTGAAATTTCGAACTAGTTTACCCCATCCCCTTCTTAAATTAAGCCACGAGGGCTCTGTTCTAAATCGTTAAATTTGATTTTTTTTACAGCGGGTAGGAGACAGTCGGATGTTTCGGAGGGATACATCGCCTCCATCTTCTGGTTCGAAGAGTGGTTGAGCTTGCCGCATGCTTCTATTGATATCGTGAAGGTGAAGGCAATATGTGCATCCGAAGGGTGGGAATTATTCCGAACTACACGGCATTTCAATCCAGAAAATTGTGATATCTCCCAAATTCTATTAAATTTATTATTCACTACAGAATATATCGCTACAATTGGTGTCTGAGTCGAATTGTGATATTTACATATACATTTAACAAAACAATTCTCTTGTCATGAGAACCAGAATTCTATTCATCCGGCACCAATGTATGTTTCCTTGATTCCTGCTCCCTCCTTTACTGCCTTACAAACTACAGTGCATTTCATATGACTGGTTCGCGCCTCTGCCACCGAGTCCAGCGAAACAGAACAGTCCCTGCATTTGTGACACTTTACAATATGTGCTATGGGAAGCTTCGTTTAATCAATTACAAAGAAAGGGTATAGTGAACACAAAAACGCTGCCATTCCAATTTACAGGAACTGACTCAGTCATCAAAAGAATGCAACGGTAATGCTACCTTTGCAAGAGGCCGTGGGGGCCCATAGAGTTGTGAGACATCGAGGCTCCCGCAACTTCTCCAGAATCGACTCACAGAGGGCAGCGAGGTTGTCAGCCTTATGCAACAACCCCCTCCCCAAAGGAAGATTCGTGGTGCTCCCTTCTGTTTTTTTTTATTGCTAGTGGGGTGGGACTAAGTCCCTTGTACTGCGGCCACTTCTGGCCTATTGTACCAGCCCCAGATGATAGGTGAGGGTGATTGTGGAGCAATTGGTGGAATGAAGATTGGCAGGGGAAACCGAAGTACTCGGAGGAAACCTGCCCAAGCGCCACTTTGTCCACCACAAATCCCACTTGACCAGACCCGGGATCGAACCCGGGCCGACTAACCGCTTGAGCTATGGCGCGGCCCACTCTTTTCTGTTAGAAGCTGAGTCTGCAGTCTGAAGCCCTGAATTAAACGTGTAAAAAATTAAATATATTACTACTACTACTACTACTACTGCTACTGCTGCTATTACTAATAATAATAATCATCATCATCATCATCTTGGGAGTCATCTAAATTATTCTAGTAGGGAAACTGAATATTTAGAAAACTGAAATCAGCAAACAGACGCCATTTCAAATTTTATTATAAATCCGTGAGTTTCGGAGTCTGTCTCTTTCATTTTCTGTTACCTACATTAATGATCTGTGTCGCCATTATAATGTAAACACGTAGACAGGCCTGCGGAATTCCATTTACCCGATATTGAAGGAAGACGTGGAAATGTCGTAATTTTACACAAGGCCATACAAAAATATAATTTAATTTCAAATATAAACGGTTTCTGAATATTATTACTCTGGATGAAAAGAAACTTGTGAAATTCTTTGAGGTGGAAAATGTTAATTGAGCGTATTTTCCAATTAAGTAAAAACGGATGGAGTTGTCCCTTAAAAGCCGTCCAGCAATATTCATTAAAATCAGAAAACGGTAAAGAGACGCGAAAGTAGCGCATATATAAATATAAACAACTTAAACAAGAACATGTCCTTCTGATGAAAGGGAGAGCAGTAATTTCAGTACGGAATCAGTTAAGGCACGAAATAAACTACTGACTGACAAAGGATTACGAAGACCTAAAATGGCATATGCATCACAGCAGCCGCACAGTCGAAACCATGAACCGTCTTCTCCCTCTCGAACACTGGGATCCTGACTGGAGGCATGGATGTCTCTGTGCGTTCCTTTGTGTATGTAGCGACCTTGCGACGGGCTGATCTTCCATTCGAGGATTTCTACCGACTACGTGTGGGTTTAGAAACTGAAAAAGATGCCAAGGCCCACAGTCGTTGTAGACAGATAGACAGAGAAGATAGATAGATAGATAGATAGATAGATAGACAGACAGAGAAGATAGATAGATAGATAGAGTAGACAGACAGATAGATAGATAGAGAAGATAGACAGACAGACAGATAGACAGATAGACAGACAGATAGATAGATAGATAGATAGATAGATAGATAGATAGATAGATAGATAAATACTAGTCTACGCATCTAATCCCTTCCACTCTTGTTAGCAGTATCCTAACGTTAGCCTTTGCTAGAAATCAGGCTGGAAAGCCATTACAACAGTAGGGAGAGAAGAGGGAATACCCAGCCACTCTCATCGCCAATTACTTGCGTCACGTGAGTACAGTAAACCCCTTTTCTTCAATGGAAACTCCGTGTCTTAGATGTGTAAACTTCTTTATTCACTTGGTCACATTAAAGTCTGTATGAACGTGTTCTTTTTCAGTTTAACGTAAAATCATTAGCCGTGGGCGTCATGTTATCTGATAAGTGGACATTCTGTTAACTATTTATAACACATCTCTAAACCTGAGACGCATTTTAACGCTGAAAACGTTATCATACGAGAGTGAAAATGGATGAATCCGTGACACTAAGAGTAGCACATGTGCAACCTCTTACGTAACTGCCGATAATTCGAGACCTATGGCGTATCTTATACTATAAATTATATGTAAATGAAAGAATAAAGACTGGTCTATCCAAAAATGACATTTACTTTAATCCCAATTAAAATGTACATTATTTAAACAATTGCCCAAAACATAATAATTTTTCTAATTCGACAGACAGACAACTATAAGCAAGCAAATGAATATTTTCGAAAGAATTTTATTGTCGGTCCATTTGGTTATGCCTGCGACATGTGATATACTATGGCATATGAATGATTTAAACGATGAAACTGTTGCAGTAGAGGGTTACAAGTTCATTACTCAATTTAAACGACACAACGTCAGAGCTGGAGATCTACCTATATACGCAAAAAATAACGCCATGGCAGCGACTCATATTTTCATGAAGCTGGAAAAACAAAACATGGCAAAGCCATCATTTAAATTAGCTGCTTCAGAATCGTGTGGAGACGTCCATGCAGCAGAGTGTCTTGTAAATGGATAAACTTTGCACTTATCTTCACCCAGCGACGATTGGAAATCTTTGATATTTTATTACTTACTGAGTATTCTCCAAATGTGTGCAAAATTTTTAAGTTTGTGGCAAGGAGAGGTTGTGAGGATATGTCAGTCATACTGGCAGGGGACTTTAAAGTCAGCGTGAAAGATAATTCCAATGCTGAACTTGTAGTGTTCTTGAAAGATACCTTCGAACTTGACGTTCTTTCAGATCTTTCTCAAGGAACTACCACATCTAATTCTTGCATCGATATGGTCTTTGGACGAAATGTGGACAATTTATCACGCATAAAATACATATCGCACTTTAACTATCATTCACCTATCCTGAGCACAACCAATCACGAAGCTCCTCGACTCACTCACGTAACTACAAACTTAATGCTTTGTGTAATTTCAATAAATAATGTATTGTACATATGGTCATGATTCAATAAAGCCTCAATTTAATGTACAAAGTGCATTTATTCCAATACAAATCCCAATTTAATAACGTTTCAACGATAATCCTGATAACCAAGGTTCCCCAATAATATTTTAGGAAAATATCACGAAATTGCTGCTAACAGAGAACCATGGCTTCAGTTTCTGCCTACTTTCTAATTCGCCATTCATAATCACCCTGCCACATGGTCACCATTATGTGACTGTCCTCCTACATCGAATTTCGGGCTACCCTGGCTCGAATACTCGTACATCTAGGAAAATTGATCAAATTCTTTATAGTTCCTTTTTCTTCTTCTTTTTTGGCATATGAAAATGTATTACTCATCTGCACGAACCAGTATTCTTTGCCGCTTATGATCAAGTATGCGATCAGCAAACTCGACTTCCTGTTGGCACAGCCGTGACCACTAGCATTCGAATTTCGGAGATACCCGGCTTAAATAACTGCCGTATTTCGACTATGTTGACAGAGAGCTCTATTGGTATTCTTCAGTATTTTATGGTGGAGCCGGCATAGTGCAGTCGGTATAGCGACTGGTTAAGGACTGGATGACAGAGGGGTCGGAGTTCGACTCGCGGTAGGGAAAAAATGTTTTATTTTCAACGCGGTCCAGACTTGTTCTGGTGCTCAGCCAGCCTACTATCCAATTGGTACGGGGTTCTCTTTCACTGGTCGAAAAGCGACCTGGGCGTGAAACTCACCACTAGTCTCCAACTAGAAGAAAACGTGGATCTATATATCCACTCCCCATACGCCTTTCGGCTTAAATATTTAAGCACAAGAATAATTGTGCCGTTTTGACAGTAATTTATGTCCGACCTTAAGAAATCCATGATCTCTTCCCTTCCACATCCGTAAGGATATTGCCCGTACCTCTTTGCGCATGCGCGGCAGCTTCTGTCGTGGCAGCGGAAAGGATATTGATGCTCCTCATGACATTAAAACCCAGGACAAAGGAAGCGCGTACGAGAGCCGTCTATACATATTATAAGTGGCAAACTTTAACATTTTATATGCATTTTACGCTTATGTAACTTAAAGTAACAACAAGAAGCCCTGGGAATTATTAATCGCCTACTTCCACTTTATACAACACAGCCCGAATACAAAACGACGAATA